AGACTCAACAGTTGCGGCCAGTCCGATTCCACAAGGCGAAAATCAGATCCGTTGTTCTTGCAGCAACGCTGGGCACGTGTCGCCTACCAAATGCAGCCCTAGAGCTGGCGCACCCCTTTCTTCTAAGCCCGGGACCTGCCCCGAGACAGGCCTCTGCTCAGTGGCCATGGAAGGAGACGGCTGGGGCACCGCGTGGGTCACCGCCATTGTTAAGTAGGAGGAGCTAGTAGGGCTAGTTCCAGCAATCTAGGCAAGAGTCTGAAATGGCTAAACTACTGCTTTTTCCTGTGTGGTTAATTGTGGTTTAGGTGAACAAATGTCTTTGCTTCCTGTTTGTACTTGCAACCCTGTTTGAGAACTAGCAGAAGAAAAATGGAGTCATGTGGACCTACTGCACTGAAGACATCCTTCAGAAGAGGTTTGCCAAAAGAAAACGTGGCTAGGAAAGGTAATAGCCCAAATGGCTGTTGGACGTGTTAAAGCTGCTTATTTTTACTTACAGAAAGGACCTGCGTAGAGTCTAACGTAGTGTGCATAGAGAACGTGTCATGGCTCTGGCGTCAAAAATGCAGGCCAATCAGCTGCAAAGGGGCTATGAAAATGTGTGTTTAGGGTGCGGAAGTGTGGCTTTTCATGCTACTGAAAGCAGCAGGACAAGAGCTGTAGCATCCGTGCTTTCTGGGAGCTGACCTTAAGCTTGTTTGACAGGGTAATCAAACTTATTTTTGCTTTTTTTTTTTGGCTCGTTAATTTGGGGTGGATGGATGTCCTAAAGTCACGCTAGTTAATGACGGTACTATGCATTGTTCTGAGTGTGGAACCATACAATATGTTGTCTTTCACAGGTTGTGTAGTCACTTTGCCATTGTTTTAAATCTGGTAGTTTGCACTTCTCTTGACTCTATGTTAGGAGTGTTGTGCGAGAGAGAAATTACGCACACCATAAAATGACTCAATCGCTGCTTTCCATCTAAATTCCACCCGGGTGGGTTTATGCAGCTGGCTAGTACTGCAGCAGCTTTTTAACATCTAAGGTTAAAGCCATTAGTGACCACAGAACATCCATGAAGTTGCAGTAATGATAGTTGTTCTTTTAATGCTCAAGACTCATCCCGATTCTTGCCTCTATACATTAACAGAAGTAACCTGTGGCTCTATTTAGGCCTGTCCTCCTGTACTCAGTAACATAACCCCACAGCCGCAGGACTTGAACCAAACCCTGACTGAAAACCAAAAAGAGCTGCTTGCATGGCATCCACGGAGCCAAACGGACCGTTGGATGTTGCAATACTCCGATAAAGCAGTTTCAGCAACAAGGGAGAACAGAGTCTCGTGATACCAAGTCACATGGTCTAGAGCGCTCTGGGGTGATCTGACTGGCTCCACAATGGAAAATGGGGTAAAGGAAACCCTGCTATAGCAGAGTAAGGCTGGGCTTGGGCATGTGCTCCACAGGCTGGTACCGCACACCTCCCTGGGCAAGATAAAAAACTGCAGTAGACATGCACAGAGCTTAATTTTAATAGAGCGTAGAAGTTTGCATTTGTACTTACATTCCATTAAGGTCCTGGATGCAGAGATGAAGCGATTACACACCCTCATAGCAGCAGGGAGCAGAATGTAAGTGTCCTTAAAAAATGCCTCAATCAAAAACGGTAAAGTGCAAGGGAAATGGCTTGCTTTGTGTAGTGGCAACAGCCCAGTGTCACGCGGGGGGGCCTTGCCACATTATGTTTAAGTTGGTATTTCACAGTCACAGCCTTTGTAATACCTTCAGCCACAACATTAGGAGCAGTGCTGACAGCTGGTTTTCTTTTTACAGCTTAGCAGCCAAAGGACAAACTGGTTGGTTGGTTGTTTTTTTTTTTTACTCCTGTTAAAACTTTGAAAAGGAAAGAAAACAAGCAGGGGTTTTGTATGCATTTATGGCTTCAAGCATAAGCCTGGCTCTGAGCTCTCAGCCTGCTCCCGCCACCAGGGGCTTCCTCAGGACCCCAACATTCATGCCAAAACTGAACTGTCTGGAGGTGGGAGTCCAGCTCCACAGGGAAGAGGGCTGCAGGCAGCAGACGAGAATACTAGTGCTGATTCCAGCTGGAAATGCATGCAGCACAGGGAAGGAAGATGAAAGGAGGGGGCTGGTCCTGTGACCAGGTTCAGTTTAGCAAGTTTTCTAACCTTGTCCCAGTTGTGAAATGGGGCTATTGCAAACCAGAGTGCCTCACTGGCTGGAGCAAAGACACACAGCATAGAGACAGAGAGAGCAGGGCACAGCACTTGCTCTGCAGCTGCAAGACGGTGACAAATGATTAGAGATGCTGTGGGTGAGGAGCAGCCTGGGGCTTCCCAAAAAGCATCTTGCTCGACAGGCGCACATGGCGTTCCCCATCTGCCCGGCCCGACGAAGGCCTGCTGGAGGTAGGCAGGCAGGCAACATGAGAGAAGGAAATGGCGCCTGTTCTTGGTCACCCCTCCCCGTTGGCTTCTGCTTGCCAAGCTCGCAAGTGCTGCTCACCTGAAGGCAGAAACCTGCACACCACTAGCACCTGGAGAGCAGCCCTGGGGTGGGGGTGTGGGGAGGTAGAGATGCTCTAGCAGGGTCTTCCAGCTGTGAAGTTGCTCAGGCAGCTCTTTGGGTGAAGGCAGTTGCAGTTTGCTGTCACAGGTCTAGCCAAGCTGAAAGGCAGATGTTTGTTAGAGAAAAGACTTCTGGTGGTGGTGGGGTGGGGTTATGACCATTTTTGTAGTTTTGCCAGGGAATTTGTTTCAGTTTCCTGGCTGCCTGGCCTTTCTTTGGCTAGCCTTTTTTTTACTGCCTTTGGGAAGCACTAGCCGGTTCCCACAATGGCTGACAAGAAGTATAAAAGAGGGGACAGAGAAAACGTGCATACCTTTGCTCGTATCAATAACCACTTGTGCAGCCCCTACAGCTGGCAAGGTAACAAGCAGCTGCTTTAGGCCTGCACACTGGAGACTGACCCAAAAGCAACACGACAGCGCAGCAGGACGCCACAGCTGGGAACTGAACAGCCATCATGCAGCAACAGTCCACCTGCGTGACCAAGGTTGGCTAATGCCCCTCCTTTTGCACAGGTTTTTTTTGGCCTTGCTTTAGAACACCCTTCCCACCCCCCAGTGTAGAAAAACACTCTCCTCTTGCTGCTTCCCGTAAAACGCTGGGTTGCGTTTCCATTTCCTGACAGCACTTTCAGGACCTGTAAGGCAGCTACCTGGCTGGTTTACTTGGTCTGTCCCATCTCTTAACCTGCAGAAATGCCTCACACTGCCCCAGGGATCAGACAGAGCAGGAAGCCCTGACCTTACAACAAAGCCGGGTGCGAGCTGGTCGGATCAGACGTCTTAATGAATGGATACGGCTATGGAAAAAGACCTGCCAAAGCATGTGAGATGTATAACTTTCAGAAACCTTTTCCCCGCAGCAGATGCACATGCAGGACAAGAGAGATGGAAAAATCCACCTCTGTATTCAGACGTTGGGAGGCCTCAGCCTTGCAGCACCAGCGCAGCTTCAGTACGACAGCGGAGCTTAGTGCCGCTGCCGCTTCAGTGTGTTTGCAAAGCCATTCTTGGGCCAAGCAGGTCTTTGTGCCAAGAGGAAGCAGTAATGCTCTTCTTCACTTCTAAAAGGCCATCAAATTCAGACTATATACAACATATATAGAAATAACTTTTAATTAAAAAACCAACCTTGCATCAAAGATTATCGTATCAGACATTGAGGCAAGATTCAAGTTTAAGACAAACCAGTGTTAAAAAAGTGTTTAAAAAAATAATCAGAATGTGCAATAAACTACAATGTAGCAATAGGTTGTAGTGTTGAAACTTAACTTTACTGAACTGTTTTCCAATGCCCAGTGTATAATTTCTGTCATTTTGACCAAAAAAAAAAAAAAGGACACTAAAACTGGGTCATCTGTCCAGTGCCATTCCAGATATTACAAGTGGAAGAAAATTTTGCACAGAAACAGAGACTTCTATAAAATTGCCTTCAACTGTTCTACACAGAAAAACTTCCTGTTGATGGATTATACCTACATTCAGTATTTAATCTTTGTTAATACCGCTTGAGGTTGCCGATACATTCCAAACTACACTATTTAGATGCAAGTTTAAACAACTTGCTTTGGTTTCCTCACTGTGAAATTAAAAATCTATCTGAAATCACAATGGAAAGCTTTGGGGCTTTTTTCTTTATTGGTCTTCTAAATATCAGTCATTTTTTCCTTTTCAGCTAGTCACCAAATGTTGGCATACTTTACGAGACTCTTACAAGGCACTGTACAGAAATCTGAACAAGACTTTGTCTTTAACATATTAAAGCAACGTATTATGAGCCTCATAAGCTACTGAAGGACTAACGAAGTAAGATGACCCAAAACACAAGATTCAAAGAGCTGCGTCACTGATTTGACTCGACTCCTCTTCCCTTCCGTTCCTCTATGCCCACACGACTGAGGCAGAAACCCTACTTTCTGAGTAGCAGATATATCGACTATTGAAATGCAGTGGCCTATTTCTATCTTACTGCTTGAGGACGTCTATATGAAACATGCCCTGGCACTACTGAGAGCTGAGTACAGGTTTTAAGCTAGATGCAAGGCTTCCAGAGCTCCTGCTTTCAAACTGCTGGTTCTTGCCTACCCTCACCTTGCGCACGGGTTACACACATGCATTTAGACAGGCAGATTTTTGCCCCATGGTCATGCCACACAGGAAAAGAATCTGAGGCTAGCGCTGCTCCCCACTATGTTTTCAAGTAGTTTTTCTGTGTTCAGTTGAAGTTGCTGGTTAAGGTAGACAGCATAGCTTGCTGCACCAGAATCCACTAGAACCAGAAATGCATTTGAAAACAAACAAAACAGAAAGGATGATTATTAACAAATGTGGCAATATGACAACAAAGTGAATGGTGCCAGCAATTTATGTGCGCCCACTCCCGACACTGGGAATATTAGACTTCCAGCTTGAAATAATTACTTTCTCTTGGGGTTCAGGAAGAAGAAAGTGTTGTCTTTGGGATTTATCCTACCTGTTACAAAGCAAGAAAGAAAATATATTATATGCGGCTAATGTACAGGTTTTGAATTGTGCTGTCATATGCTGTGTGAACAAGAAAGATTTTACCTTACACTTTTCTCCGCCTTAATTGGCTTTCTTAATGAACCACATTATTCCCTGTCACCTTTGTTTTCTTGTATTGTTGATTCCCAGGCAAACATTTTCGCAGTCGTCTGACTCTTCGGTAGATTGTTTTCTTGGTGGATGGCCATTGTCTGGCAAACCAATGGGTGTGCAGGAAGTACAGAGAGAGTCGCTGGGGAAAGCTGCACTTGACATTTCAGTCTGATTCGTTATTTGATCTTGGCACAGTAAAGCTTCTACCTCTTCATCTTTTAGTGGAAAAACTCGAAGTTCCCACAGCCCAGACTGAAAGGAGTAAGAAGGGTAGGAGTGAGGGTGGGAAAAGAGGGGAGAAAGGGATTTCAGTTGAGTCTGAACTGATCAGCTATGTGCAGAATGATCTGCTATCAAGTAACAAATGAGTGTCTGTCTGTCTTTACAGTGTTTGCAGGGCTCTTCAGATAAAGAATACAACACTGCTAGGCACCAGCTGTCAATGTAAGCTGGCTTCATACCATTTTGAACTAGTAACAGAGCTACAATTGAACAGGCACCGTACAGGATGGGGGAAGCTCTTTTCCACAGTGCCAGACTATCAGGACACCTGACCCCAGAACAATCAGCCCCAGCTGGAACCTTGGCCAACATCCCCAAGAAAAGATCATCAGCCCTGAACCCGGGGCTGCCATACTTGCCTCCAAAACACGTGCCACGCGTGCCAAGCAATGACATTTTTACCTGCTGACAAATCTTGGGCTTAATTCAAAAAGCATAGCAATCTAGTTCTCATCAGGAGTGCTACATTCAGTCTACATAAACCAGGGTTACAGCCTGAGATTCTGATCAGTGAGACAGGAGGATACGTTCAGGTTCTTTGTTTCAGGTTAGAGAAAGCGGTCGCCGAAGACCTGACCGGACCCGGAAGGTATTAGAAGCACCCACCTTCGCTTCCTGGCTCTCCCTGCCGAGTTGTGCGGTCCCTGAACAGGCAGAGCTGTGGGCTTCCGACGTCAAGTCGGGAACAGGTTCAGAAAAAAGAGCCGCCGTGGTGGTCTTTCTGCACCGAATCTTGGCTGTGTCGTCCATCTGCATTTTTGCTGTAAGATCTAGTGCAGCGTAAGAGACAAGAGTCTTAAGCGCTACCCCCTGCCCTCTCACATCACCAGGTACAGTTCAGATTTTCTTTTCAAACCGTTCACTTTCTCTGTATGCACTACCTACATTCTACTTATTTAAATCAAAAGAGCACATGAAAATACACATGGTACTTGACAACCTTGTCACAAGCCAAAGCAAAGAGCGCTATGTGGAGGAGCTAACGGGATAAACCAGGGCTGGAGCAGGCACACTCTGGCTGCAGAACAGCTGGTGGCTGGTCCCGCTCCTGTGCCTCGCTCCACACGCTCACCAAAAGGTAATGTTGGACAGAACTCGGTGAGCTGTGGGCTGTTCCCACTCGGGGGAACACGGCAGCATTCACAGGAGCCTGCAGAGTCCGCACTGCCCTGTCAGCAGACTGTGCCAACGTAACTCGAGAAGAAACAGCAGGTCCTTGGGCTCCCTCTTTCCCACCTCTGCTCTGGACTCGCCTCCAAAGCAGTCAAAATAATTTAACAAAATTAAAAATTTTGACCTCGCCTTTAATGCAAGTTTGAACTAGATATAAAATACTGGAACGCATCATTTAAGCCAGGTGAAAGTCTGACCTTGCTCATGTCAATGGCAGTTTTACTTCTGAATTCAAATAGTACTAAGGTTTCACCAAGGAGTTCATAGAGTTTAAAAATTAAGGGTACATACAGACCTTGTATTTCTCAGTACACTTTCTTGAGGGTTTTTTTTTATGTTCAAAATGGCGTAAGTTATAATTCCTTAATATGGTTTAGCGCTAATTTTATCCTGCATTAAAAAAAGCTGTCTTTGCATATATAGTCATAGTGTCATGGTTCCCTTTCAGCCAAGAGTAGACACAAGCATATGATAAATAGCAGAAAAAAAGTTATCCCAGCATTTATAGGATGCTTTTTGTCCTTGCAGATTCTGAAGCGATTTATGGGAATCATTTTCCCAGAGCCAAATTGCAGAGACAGCTTTATTATGTTTGTTCTTGTATGTTCTCTACTTTTTGCAAGACTTTCAGGGGTTAGATTTAATGCTGGCGAGTTTTGCACCAGACAGCAAGCCTGTGATAATTTAACTTTTTCGTACAATGACTTCTTTAAGCATAAGGTTGCTTGCACGGCTCCGGACCCTTCCGTATGAATGCAAGTGGACTTTCATCCAAGTCGGGTGAGTGAAGAAGGGCTCACGTTGCACTCGGTGGCTTCAGTCATAATAACCGGGAGTGGCACAAACTAGCAGAGCTGTGTTCGGTATGGGAGTAAGATCTTTATTCACTAATATGCCCAATTTCTCTTAAGTGTGCATGCTTCAGAACTGCACGGCCTTCCCTTTCCGGCCACAAACCCAAACATACCTGGTGCTGTCCCTGCCAAGTTAGTTAATGGGGAGTTGCCCTCATTTTCAAAGTTCTCTGTGACAGCATTTCTGAAACTGCTGCACCAACAGCCGACACCAGTGGTTCAATAGGAATGCTCTTATCAAAGTCAGTACACCTGCCTGCTATTCCTTCTGGGCCAGCGGCTCTGCTCCCACAGCGACCACCTTGCTCGCTCTCTTTTTTCGTACTTTGTGTGACGTAAGGAAAATACTTCATCTGACAAATCTTCTGTCTGTAACAAAATACAGGGACAATTGCTGCCATTAATTATGAAGGTCACTGGAAACAAAGGCAGCCAATATTCTATACAATTCTGCAAAGGTCTGTTCACCAAACCGGAGGAGGTAACACAATACACGCTTACAGTATAAAGGCATATCAAAACAGATGCATTCAGCTTACACTTTCACTAGAGCTCTAGTATATGGGATGCTGTCACTTCCACTTGCTTTACATGTCCATGGCTGATCTGAATGGATATAGAAACTATACCCCCCCGTGCAACCAACTAACACATTTTTCCCTGATGTTGAGAGGCAGAAAATTAAGAGGACAAGTATTCATTTGCAAATCAAGGCAGTATTAAAAGCATATCGTAAAGACAAGCAAGAATTCCAGGAGTTTCCAGAGACTGCTTTAGGAAGAGGCTGGGAGGCAGCTGGATCTGCCAGGTGCTCTTCAAGCATGGAGAAATGGGTCTGAGATCACCCAGGACGTTGAGAGGAACTCAGCAAACCTGAGGTGCCGCATTCCTG